CTAAAGAAATGCCTGTTGTAGATTTAAACACAAGATTCAGCTTAGCATCGGGCCAAAACAAATTGTAGAACTGTATACCGTTGATGCGTCGTAAATTGTCACTTCAACTAAAATTATCACAAAGACTTGGTACTGTACTCAAATTGCTGTCGGCATTTTTTGTCGACAGCAATTTGGTACTGTAACTGTATTCAAATTGCTGTCGGCATTTTTAACCAAAGCTGCAGTCATTTGTTGCTGACAAGTACAGGGATTTAGCCTTAAACTTCTCCATTCAAATGTACCCAAGTTGATAAAAAAACAAATTGTTAACATCAAATTCGGTGCGCTTCTGAAGTGTAAGCTGAAAAGGATCAACAAACAAACCCCCATGTTTCTCCACACGTGGTCTTGTCGAGTATAGCACTGAAGTGGCTCATAGGGCAGACCGGAATCTCCATTTCCCGTGCAAAGTCAAACCCAACCACCGCCTTGATTTGCACACAAGTTGAGAGCCGAGTTACGGGTCGTCAAAAGAAAATCCACGTGGGTTCTCTCTCTTGCCAGAAGCATTCGGCTAATCGCAACGCCACGCACTATTAGCTGGGGTCTCCCCCCACCCCTTGCCAGCGGTTCTTGCTGCTACGGAGCCTTCGTGTAACCTAACCAAACCGACCTACAATTTCCACCCCCATCCCCCAAATCGGCTCACCAACGGCAACAATTCCTCAACTGGCATTTGGACAAATGGGACATGCAGGTAGGCGAGTTCAGTCATTACAACGCGCGTGTTGAAGCGCCCCCGCTTGACGTTCCGATCTGGGGTTGGCGTGGTTTCGGAATTCAAGAAATTATAAATTATACGCCAACGCTTTTTGTTGTCTCTTCTGTTGTGAATCACGTACAGTACTTAACCCGACGTTATATAAACACGACTCCGCGGGAACACGGAATACCAACACGATTGCCCCTTGGGGGCTGTCCGTAAATGACGTCACGCGATTTTGGACGATTTTCTACCCCCCCCCCCCTCGTCACACGGCGTAATTTCACAAAGCTCTGCCCCCCCCCCCCCCCCAAAATTTTTTTAAAAACATGCTTCAAATCGCTTTAAACTATTGTCATTGTAGTGCGTGTTTAATGTGGCGCTGCACTCTGATGTTGTAGGAGAAAACATTTAATAAAGTCGATTTAATTAAGTAGAACGTGTTGTCTATATTTATTTAAAGTTGCGCATTATGTGACGTCACATTTTTCAACCCCCCCCCCCCCTTCGTCACAAATGTCTGACCCCCTCCCCCCTAGGTGCGTGACGTCATTTATGGACGGCCTCTTGGTGTTGAGAGTCCCGGAACGGTAAACATGTTTATTTATTTACTTTAGCCAAAGTACCTTTTCACTGTTTTCCCAGCTCAACTTCTGCTTTCGTTTTAACCAAAGCATTCGTACTCTGACGGTGCCCCCACCCCTCGCCTCGCTCCCTCCGGCTTATTCGGAAGAGCCGTGATTACGTCCCATTAAGGGGCCATCCATTTAGCAGGTACACAAAGATCTGTCAAAACTTGCCCCCTCCCCCCCCTCCCTGTACGTACGCCTGACGCACCCCCCGAATCCTATAGAACGGCCGATATTTAATCCACGCAGAAACAATCAAGGATAAATAATATTAACGTGTTTAAGCAAATAGTCCACCGCCGGACTAACTCATTTGAAGGTCAATGTAGACAAATTATTATCGAGGCTTCACCACCCCCCCCCCCCTTTCCTATGCGTACGTACATTGTCAGGAGACCCCCCCCCCCCATACGCAAGCGAACGCATTTGGGTTAACCCCCCCTCCCTCCTCCATGCGTACGTACTAAATGGATGGCCCCCTAAGGCGATGCACGATAGGCGACCCAGCAAAAGGGTGGGGGAGCGGTGAGTTTGGGTGCCCTCCAGGCTCGCATAGCGACGACTGCCCGATTGCCATCTGCGGTTGGGACCGCGTCGTGAAACCCACGTGCACGCCCCGGGCCAACAATTAGCGCGATTCCGCTCGCTGCTTTTGCAAGGGTTTTTGGGGGAAATCGTCATCGCTCGCGAACCCGACGCACAGGCGTCCCCACTTGCGTTTCAGATCATCAAAATGGGTGAAGATCACGAACCAAACTGTCACCCCCTCCCCCTTCCTGCCCACCACCACCACCGTGCCTTTCCCCTCGTTCGCCAAGAAGGGTTCTCTCCACCATTCCCAATTAAAGCCACGCACGAATAACTGTTGTTGGTGGTCAATGTACGTGTGGGAGAATGATGGTCAACACTTGCGTTGTTGGATTGCGTTCATTACAGGAGTCTTGCAATCTCAATACGTGGCCCTTCATGACGTTACTCCAAACCAGATCAAAGTCCCACTACACGAAATTCAATGCGTGCTCATGGCCGTATTACTTTACGGTCAGTCGGGCTACCCAAGTTTTTCTTTTGTATACTTTATAAAGGTTTTAATTGCATTTTTTTAGCTTTTTTTACTGTTTATTAGATTAAAAAAGTATCAAGTACCTACACCTCTGCAAGGTAATTTTCGCAAAATAATCGTCACCAAAATGTTTCAGCCTTGCCCTGCCCGCGCTTAACAACGACAACAACGCCCCACACACTTCAACAAATGTACCAAGAGCTGTAACCTATAGCTTATAAGGGTTTCCAAACATGAATTCCAACGGGCCCCGCAGCTCCGAATTGGCCACAGTCTAATATGGTGAGAGTCAGAACTGCTTCGGCCCGGCGAGTAATTTTTGCCCGCTCCTTTTGTTCGTGCCAAGGCGGTCGGATGTGCTTTGCCCGGTGTTTTTTTTTCCTTTTTCTCACACGACGTTCAGAAAAAGACATCAACGCGGCAAATCGGTTAGCGCGTCCGTGGGAGGAAAAAAAATGCCTTGAAATAAAAAAAAATTGCAAAGGTTACATTAGAATAAGACGTGGAAGGAGGGTTTTTGGGTGGCGGGTTCGGGGGGGTGTAGGGTAAAATGTCGCAGTCTCAACAACAAACCGAAAGTCGAGCGTTATGGTAAACAAGTTGCCGTATTGGCCATAACAGGCGGGCAGTTATTCTGCATGGGCCCCCCGCACCTCCCGTATTTAACCGGCGGTCAGCAAAGATGCGTCAATCCACCAGCAGCGTGTGATAAAACAGGCTTGTAACAATAATAAACATGGCAAGGGGCATACACTTGAGAGCTCATTTACATAGTGAAACGAATGATGGTGTGGTTTTCTCATCCCGTTTGGTTTTTTTGTGTTCATTCAATATAACTTTATGTCGCACGAGTGTGACTGGCTGTGCTAGGCAAGCGATCGGGTGCGTTGACGGGGAGAGTGTGTTCTGAGGGCACCCCAATGTTTCCTCCAGATCACAGGAGAGAGAGAGAGAGGAGAAAAAAACCCAACCCCGGTCTGTCGTTACTTTTAATAGTAAAATGAAAAGCACCAATCGTAATTAAACGTTTTTCCAGTTGGATGTGACGCTCACATCACAATTGAATTACTTTTCAGTTGCCACGGCCCTGAGCTTTGTCTCGACAGAGGCCAGCGTGTGGGGGGGATGGGGGGACCGATGATGCCGCTGCCATGCGTTGGTGCCCACCCTTGGCTCTACGAAGCCCTGGGTCTGCTGCTGCAAACGATTGCAATTTTTTTCCCCCCATGCAAATGCTCGGATGAACCACGGTATTCCTGGGGGTTTCTTCTTCCGCTGCTGGGACCCCTTTGACGTGCCCCCACCGAGATGCGTGGTGTCGTCCTACTGTCTTTGCCGTTTGCAAGCGTGCAGTGGAATCCTCGAGTCTTGCTTTTCACCCAGAAAAAGAAATCTATCGTCGCGCCAGCAGCTGCTGTCGGTGGCAGAATGCGCGCGTGCCCTCTTACACTTTCGCAAGACGCACCGTTTGTTCAAAACTTTCGCAAATACCCGTTGCCTACAATCAGAAGCACTAATAGGCACTTGCATAAGCACTGTCACATTTATATTCAAAAAGAGGCCATTCCTCTCTTCGCTCTTATTCAATAAAGAAGAAAAATAACGTTCCGAAGAAAAACAGTTGTTTTTTTTAAATCGAACCGCTCCCAATCCTCGTTGTGTCAACAAGTCCGTGCTAAAATGGTTGTTGTGGTTGGTCGGCAAACACTCGAGACACTTCCTTGAACTGTCATGGGCAGGGCAGGAAAAGGGCAAGGCAGGACCGGGCAAGGTAGGGCAAAGGAGGGTTGTGCATCCAGGCTTGACTTAAAGCTGGGCTGGACTTGACCAGGCTGGGGTCGACTGGCTTGGGCTAGGTTCCGATGACTGTTTGGCTAGCAGCAGCAGCAACAGCAGTAGCAGCAGTGCTGTTTTGTAGACGGCGGCAGTCAAGGCACAGGTTAGAGAAGCCAGTATCGAGTCGGCTCAGCCAAGGCCCTAAGGGGCAGGAACTTCCAAAAACGCCATCACATCGCAGGTTTTATTAACCCTTCAGTAACTTAGATAATGTACAAAATAATTCCTCGCGTGCCACAACCTCGACAAATCGTCTGTGCCAACAAAGTCTCGGTAACCGCTTTTTGGCCAAATCTGTGCCTGCGTGTGCTCTGGTGAGTTGTTTTTTTACGACTGATAGTCTCATGGCAATTGGCTCGTGGCATGCTAACGTGCCATTGAACAAAGTGACGTTTTGGCAAAACTTTGGCGTGGAAAAAAAACATCTTCATGGGCTTTCTTTGCTGCCCAATGTGTCATCCCGAAAAAAAAAACACTTTAAAGAGAAAAAGCAACTTCCTTCGCTTAGCCACAGTTATCTTCAAGACATTCTCATCTTAAGGTAGCAAGTGTTTTTTGTTTGTTTGTTAAACAAGTCCTTTATTCTTCTTTGTGGGGGCATTCAATGAACCAGCTGACGCGCTCTCAGCGAATGAGCATTCTTTAAAGTTCTTTAAGTGCGTGTCCCCCTTCCCCCGCCAGCCCCTCCCGGCTCCTCCTTTGCCCCCCACCCCCTTCCCCCCCCCCGGTCTGGGGCGCGACCGATGTAGCTACGTGTGCGAGAATGGACGGAGTTGCTCCAGCTGCGCTTCGAGTGCAATCCTTTCTTCGAGCAGATCCTGCAAGCAAAACACAAGCACAAAATACAAAGATCCCCCGTATAATGGGCTCTTGGGGCAAGTGCTGTTCGCCAGCACCTATGAAGGCCGACACAGCACACGAGGGGGTGGGTGGCCAGCACCACACCCGGCCGCCTTTGTCTCCCAAATGGCAATGTTCTCACACTGCACCAGGCACTCATTTGAGGCCGAATCGGCCTAGGGGAGGCCCAGGACCGGTTCAGATTATCGTCACTAGTGTTGGCCGTGAGCAGGAATCGAACTCGGGTCGCCAGGTCCGTAGCGCAGTGCGCTAACTGCTACGCCACCGTGCTCCCCAAACACATGCACAAACACACGCACACACACACACGACAGGCACTTTCATTTTTAAAAAATCACCGGGATTTTAAGAACACCAGGAGGTGCTTTTAACATAATCATCGTCGTCGTTATTAGCCGATGTCTACCGACTACTGAAGGAAAGCCTCCACATGCCGTCACGATCTCTCACGGTCCAGTGCTTCTGTCAGCCATCTCACTCCTGCACATTAATCTCAATGATCCATCTGCACAGTGGTCTTATTCTTGGACATATTCTCTCTTGTTAACATGCATGACCATTCTTTTATGTCCAGAATAAAGAAAATTCCATCTCAAGTGTGACCCTCTTTCAGAAAATAAAATCACTGAAGACTCGGTAAGACTCTCTTTGGTATATATTCTGGGTGAAATTATTCGCCAATTAATATAAATATCATACTACATGCATTGGATTCTCAAGGGTAAAAACTAATGCTATGGCTTCACTGGAGGCACTACCATTTCACCACGATGGTAAAACAAAAAAAACCCAGAATAGATTATTGAATTCAATCGTGACCTGTAAGTCACAACACTTCATCAAATTGGCAGGAGGATGAATTGTTCTACCCGTGGTAAACATATCAAATTACCAAAACAAAAAAAACGGCCAATCTAAAGAGTGCAGTTATTTTTTGGTCCGCGGCCAATGCCCGGATCAATATTGAAATGAGACCTTTGCCATGCACGCGCCCAACCACAATCTATCGCGCTGCCTTTGATCACCGGCGGTGCTCCCCACAAGACGCTGCCCGCCTGGCAGTAAATTGCGTTCGGCGCAGCGGACACTATAAGCATCTATCGGACGATCCTCTCACAATCCCCTTGTGCAGAGGGACTTTATTCACTCGGCTTTACGGTTATTGTATTCATTGTTACCGCCGATGTATAAAAGTGACCGCCCTGTGGCATGAGGCTTTGCGGGACTGAAAATACAATAACAGCTGATACGTAATACTGTACACAAAGTCATTATGCGTGGTTGAAGCATAAAGGGCAAAAGCATTAACCATAATCTCCGGACGAGACTTTTTTTTTCCCTCGCTCTAAAAACAAAATTTGGGGTGCGTCTTGTAACCCGGTACGTGTGGTTGTGAGTGGCCAGGTTTATATAACTTTATTGACACTGGGCACAAATATCGGAGTAGGACTTTACATTTAGAAGCACCTCATGATCCGCAACACACATAATAAAAAGAACTTCGTTCTGTCTCCACATTAAAAATAAAATGTATTTTTTTAGCCTACTGGCCCATCTGGGTTTCATCAGTGGTGGGTCCTGACTCTGCTGATGAGAACTACAATGTCGAAACGGGGTCAGCGTTTTCTCGCTTCAAACGAAGTCGCTGGATAATACAGGTCTCGAACGTCAATAAATCAAAACCAATGTTTATTTATACGCGGAAACAACAGTGTTGCGCTTGTGTGCATTTCGTGTGTGTTCAGTTTGTTGCCCTTCCCCCCCCCCTACACCTCCGATTAGCACGGTTGGCTACGTAAGGTGCGAAAGAGGTTCAATGTACGTACATACACGCATACGTGACACTGTGATGTCAACAAGGCACTTTATCCGCCCCCAGGGAAACAAACCTTGAGTTGTTGCTGTAGCTCGCTGTTGAGCCGAGCCAAGACAGTGTTGGTCTCCTTGTTTTTGCGGATCGACGCTTGGATCACTTTTTTCTCGTTGCCCACCGACCTGCCGCAGCGCAGAGCAAACCCGTGACGGCGCCGAAGGCGTTAGTTATCAGAATGAGAATCTCTATTTGGTCTGCAGGAGAAATCCGATGAGCTATAAGGCTCTTTTTCACAGATGTCAAGTAAGGGGCACGGGGTCAGTACGTTACAACAAAACAATAAGTAAAACACGATAGGAGTGCAAAGTATAGGAAAGGTAAACACATCACTTTAACAACAAAAAAAACTAAAAAAAAATTATCTTACCAGGTGAAGCTCACCGAGGTATTAACTTATTTTTCAGAAGTGACATGGCCACAAATGATAGCTCAACAAAGCGGCTTATCACGTGGAAATTTATAGCTGCAACATCATCTCTATTTCCCTTGACGGTGCAGTCCAGGCTCGTCACGCATTCAGCTGGAATCGCTCGCCGACCTTTGTGCCGCCCAATTAAAGCGCGCACGGATCGTTCGCTAAACGAACGTCGCCGCGATTTCCCGAGAAACGTTTTCCCCATTTCTCGACAAAGCGCGCGGTGCAAATCATTAGCGTCTGCGAGCGATCAAAAACGACTCCCGTTGCTGCAGCCTCCAGCGCGTGTTCCCCCAAAACAGAATTCTAATTGAATGCACGCGTGGCGCCGCGTACGCACAGCCTAGAGGCGAAACGAAGTGGACCAAACCGCACGCTGGGTGTCTGCTGGCCATGTAACTGTTCCGCCCCCTCCCCAACACCACCGCCTCGGGGAGGACTCAATGGATTGTCACGATTCGTGGCCACTGGCCACGATTCGATAATAAAAAAATGTGTCATCGTTTGCATGTTTATATTGTTCTGTCCCATTGCGACGGTTTTGTCTGCTCCAATTTGCATGAATGAATCATGAACGTGTACATGTACTGCCCCTTTGTCAAGCCACTGCTGGATAAGGGCCTCCCCTATGCTCTACGGATCTTGGGAGGTTATTTGACCATTATTACCATATTTCAAAACGCTGGTTGGTGAAATTGGGGAGCATGTACGTGGGACCACAGACGAACAGCCAAACAAGGGATTTGACTGCACTGTATTCTGCCCACCGCGTATCCCTGCAACGTGGGTATGTGCGTTATTAGCCGAAGGTCAAAAGTGAAATCGTTTTCTTTGATACAATTGCTCATGACCAGATGACCAAATCACCTGGAAAGGTGCCTAATATTGCCGGATCTCGCGCACTAAGCAGGCTTGAGCCTGGATAACGATTGGATGGGCGGCCACAGTGCATCATTGGCATAAGATGATAGTGTCATTCGCACATGATGATAGCGTCATTCGCACATCAAACTGCGGATTGTTACGCGCACCATTCGACACGCTGCGCCGTGAGAGAATCGATTTTGAAACCATGGCCCAACGTGTCGAATGTTTTTTTACGTGTTACTTGAATCCGGGTGTGAATGTTACAATCCTCTGCCCCCTGCTGGGGGGGTCAGAAAACTCTCCGCAGTTAAGGTGTCCACCCAAGATGTCTTACAACTTTTAACATTTTTTGTCGATATAAAAGCAATTAAACTTTTTTTTTATTTGACCAGGTAAGGCCCACTGAGCTATGAAGCTCTTTTTCAGAAGCGACCTGACCACAAACGATAGCTCAACTAAGTGGCTCACCACGTGGAAATGCACAGCAGCCAAATACTCTAAACGCATAGTTTCTACATGTGGAGGGAAAAAAACCGGCGGATACGAAGAAAAAATCCACGTGACCACAGGGTGAGAGAACACGCAAACTCCAAACATATAGACGACGTCACGGTCGGGATCGAACCCATGACCCCTCCTGTATACCAAGCGAAGTAGTTACCATCTCGCCACAAGAGTAACGGGCAAACTCCCAACATAATTACAGCTATGAGAGAAGTAGAATGACCCACACTGGGCACAGGTTAAAAGGACTACTATTACAACAGGGGTGGGTGGGGTTTTATATATACCATTCCGACCTCAGGGTCAGAATTTTTGCCGGGGGAACAAAATACCATCGCCCGATGAGGCGCCGCTCTCACCTCTGCAGCGAGGGCTGGGTGGCGCCGAGGGCGGCGATGCCCCCTGGCTTGCGCAGGGGCTCCTCTTGGGGCGGCGGTGGCGGCGGGGGGGCGGCGACCGTCTCCTCGTCCGACTTGAGCTGCCGCCGCGATGGCTTCTTGGGTGCCGGCTGCGCTGGCGACGTCGCCCTCTGCTGTATCTGCGCGACACGGAGGCAGCAGTCGTTAGCGCCACGAAAACGTCGCGGCCGAGTGAGTCGTTGGGCTTTTTTATCGTGGAGCTAGTGCGTGTCGATCCAACTACCGGATGAGGGGTCTCGCAATGCCTGCGCGGATCACCAAGAGTGATTTTTACATACTTCACCACGCAGGTTAGTACAGGTTAGTGAAGACAGGGAGCACGGATGGAGAATAGAAGTACATACGGTACGACAGTTGGCGCTGCCAATGCGGTGGTGAGATGTTAACTACCTCGCCTGGTATACAGGAGGTCACAGGTTCGATCCCGCCCCTGACGCCTGCTGTATATTTGGAGTTTGTATTATTCTCCCCGTGGTCGCGTGGATTTTTCTCCGGGTACTCTGGTTTTCCCCTCTCGATTTAGAAACGTGCGTTGCAGAGTTTTTGGCTGCTATAAATTTCCTTATGATGAGCCACTTTGTTGTGGCCAGGTCGCTTCTAAAAAAGACCAATAAAAAGCTCATGGGGCCTTACCTGGTCAAATAAAAAGTTTATAGTTTATGATAGAAAATAAAAATAAGTTAATAGTTTTGGTTCAATGTGCCGGCACACTGTGTGGCTGCCTTCCTGCTTGTCCGTGGTACCTCACTACTCTGAGTCGCTCTCTCTGTAGGAGAGTGAGCGAACACTTCGCGCGTTACAAGTTGCAACTATTATTATGTTACGTGATATTTATGTTACTGTATTTGTTTTTATTTAAATGGGCTGCGCCACCCGCACATTACCGAGGATAATTCAGTTAAATAAACTACACCATCGAGTGGGAATGTTAAAAGTGTAACCTTGTTGTTCGTCACGGTCTTTTCCTCAACGCGGCTTTCTGTTTTCACTGGTGCCTTTTCGACCTGTGAATGAATAAAAAAAGTATTTTAGATATCAAATTAATTCAACAAATTAACTTTGTTGCGACACACGCATCAATCTTCACAACCTGACTGCAACATTGAGCAAAACCCTCCATAAAACAAGTCTTGAAACCTCAGAAAATGTTTTCATTTTTAAACAAGTGCAATAATATTATTAACAATAAATGTCTATTCAATGCAGAATTAAGCACATTAAAAAACACAAATATCGTTACACAGGAGTTCACCTGAAATCACTTGGAATAAACCAATACATTTCTAATCATTCAAATGCAAGAAAGTCAAATGAATATTACCCACTAGTGATTATTGAGCTTCCAGTTAAGTTTAACTGTGATCAAACTGAATTGTATCCAGCAACTTGGACATTTCCAGCCAATAAAGTGATGGATTGTAAGTTTTTTGATGAGCATCAATATTATAAAAGCCCGGCATTCTGTTTGTCCATCAACTAAATTATAAGAGCCTTTCAGAAGGCCTGAATGTAGTGTGCAAAATTTGAGTGTGTTAAATAGCTGGTCGCATTTATCCGGATTCCAATTTGGGCCGATACTTGACGTACTCCATGAATGCCCCCCCCAGCTCCCGCCCCTATTGTTTCTTGGGCTTTCAGCGTGCCGAGCGTCAGCTCTGGCACCATCGCTGCCGCTCACCGGCGCGGGCGCCTGCGGGTCCGGCGTGTCTCCCGCGGCTCGGTCAACCTCGGGCACCGCGTGCAGCGCTCCGAAGTGCGTGAAGTCGGCAAAGTTGGGCTGCTCGGAGATGGGCGGCGACAGCAGCGGCACTCCGGACGCGCCGGGAACCATGTCGGCGCCGTCGATGGAGCGGGATGTCTGCAGCGCCTGAACCGGAACCGGCACACGGTACACGGCACACCCACGGTCGGTTGGTCACTGCCAAGGACCACGGTAGTTCTTCTGCTCAGGGCCGTGTTCTGATCTTCGGATTAGTCTCAAAAAATTAAAATTGGGCCTAGGTTTAAAATGTTGGGTTAGCGCAAATAAAATTTTTTTCAAATCGATCACTTCTCGTGACATCACAGCGGCAGATGAAATTTGAAACACCGCTTCCTGTGGTGTCACTTTCGTGCTTTTCCTGCCAAAAGTACCAAGACACGACATCACTTTATTTAAATTTATTAAGATAACGTAAGTGTTCAGATTTACTGTTGGAAACCGTATTCACTTATTATTGAAACGTATTAAAACGGTTATATTTAGTGTATAAACGATTCAAGTTACTAAAACAATTTAAATGTGAAAATATGACAAAGTATAACATTGGACCTAAAAGAAAAGCCTTAAGCGCGGATCTGATAAAATTAAAATCCAAAAAAACATTCCGACAATGTACGGTTACACGGCAAGGCCGGTCATAGTGCCACCGAGGCGGATGTGCCCAGCGGAAACGTGCGGGTACCTGAGGATGTGGCCGGGGTGGCACTGCAGGAGGTGGCGCAGGCTGCTGGCCGGCGGTCTGCTGGCCTGTAATTATACACGACAGTTAAGTGGCAGCCACGCACGAGTCCATTGTACCCTACATCTGTCCACCTGGCAGTGCAAATGTGTACACCGCTCCAGGATGCACTTGCAATCCAGAAAGGTAATCCGTTCATTCGCCCGGAGCGGCAGTTAAAAGGAAAGTACAAGTGTCTCAAATCCACCATGCGCCTCCCTCCACCCAGCAGTATAAATGTGTACACCACCAGTTAGTTGTATGTATGATTAACTTCTTTCGCACCGTACATAGCCAACCGTGCTAATCGAAGTTGTGGTATGCGGTAGGGTAAAGTGTCGGTACGCCGACCCCTTCCAAGACGTCTCGTCAGCATGGAAAGGGAGATCAAACACCCTCGAGAGCTCCCGCCAGTGGAGGCCCTTCCACCAGCCGCGGCGTGAGCAAGCGAGCACTCGTACGGTTACGCCTTGTGGCCTACGTCAGGGTTCTTCCATCAATGTTATATCAGGCAGGTCACAGGGGGTAGCGGGGGGGGTGAACGCAGGCTCACCCTGTGCGGGCGGCTGGAACACTTTGTTGAGGTCGAGGGAGGAGGAGCGCGAGTGGCTCTGGTTGGGCCTCGGAGGGGGTGGCGGGGGTGGCGCCACCTGCTTCTTTAGCGAATCGTCCACGGAGGTACCCGAGAACGACCTGCACATAAAACACGGCGTGTGCCAACGAGGAACGCAGCTTCAGCGGCGCAGCATTCTGGGGAAAAATCCCCCTCCCCCCCATTGGTAACGACAACGATAATTATTACTCCGATGATTGCCTAAATCCAACAGTCTCTGTGCGATAATGTCACGTCTCAAAATATAAATCACACGCCCTTCGTTGCTATTTACAAATCACGCCGCTTTAGTGAAGGTGCAATGGGGAGGGCGACTCTTTCGCTAGTCGTGTTTACTCGCCTTGGCCTTGAGAAGCCGGCACCGTAAGCTTCCGCATCTGACGAAACGGACGACTCAGAGCTGTGGAAACCATCTGTTGCACACAAGGGAGGGACAGAAGATAAAGTACGGTAGCACAGGGGCTTGGCATTGTAGAGCAGCTCGTTCGAAGCGTAACAACAGCGGGGTGAGGATGTTTGAGGAGCAAGGGGAATGTGTGCGCACCGTACCGACGCTTTTTGCCACGGAAAATTTAGCGGCGGATGGCTGCTCCGTGGCTCTCGACGGCGTGGGGTGTGGCTGGCTCACCGGCGTACCCATCTCTGCTGAACACGTACAAAAAAATATGGCGATAAATGATACCTGAAGCAGCTTAAGCTGCCGAGGCACGCAGAGAGGAAATTATGCGTTGAGTTTACCGATGAAAACAGGTTGTGATACACGCGTCGAATTGCGTGTACGAGAATCATGTTTTATTTTATTTGCATAAATTGCATGTGATGGGTTTGTGGAACAACCCGAAGCCACTATTAACTACATGCACTGCAAATAAAGATTATTGAATTGTGACCACGCTGAATCAGGACAGGTCATCAAATCGCGAGGAGGCGGTGAGTCGCGAAGACACCTTATTGACACACTCATCATCAATCCTGCATTATGAATACACGATTATATATGCAGTCAATCACGGTTCTACTGCGATATCTTCTAACAGGCCATAATAAATTGGTGTGTGCTGGCAGGCCACGTGATATACGTTATGAAATCGCACGATGCTGTAGTGCCATAATGCGAGTTCTCTTGAGTATCTCACATCTCTTTCGATTTTATTTTATCTCACTAAGTATCTCTTTCTGTCTCAGTGAGAACCATTACTTCCGTTAGGGGCCACATTCTATCCGTTGGCCATTAGTCCAAGAAGCACAACATTTGCAGGAGAATCTTTGCGGATACAAAAACAAGAGGTAATTTTTATTCCGCTTGGAATTTTCCAAGTGGAAATAACTTGGTCTCACGGCATGATGTCCAAAGCAGGACACCAAAGCAAAAGCTTTAAAAGAGAAACAAAACCAAGTGAAACAAAGCGTTAACCCTTTCCCTTTCCGAGACGTCTGCAAGTTACACGGTGGGTGTCCTGTTCACCACGGAATCTCGAAACGTGCAAGTGACTCATCGTTAATTCTATTTAGAGAGGCGAGGCGCCGTTGTTTTTAAAGACATTTTACTTACCACAAAGAATCGTAGCGACACGACCGAACTCAATGATAGCTTGTGCCAAACTGTGCCACGCGCATGGCCTTGTGGGAGCCATGGTACCGATAAAGTTATTTTATTTTAGTTATTCTTCCGGTTCCGATCCGTACACGTACGTCATCGGAACAGAATCGGAAGAAAAACTGATGATGTACACTTATGTCATCGGAACGGGAAAGGGGTTGTGATCAGATGCAGCGCAGAGCCACGCGACGCAACTGCAGATCCGCACCATCTCGTCGCCGTGGCCATCGATGCCAAGCGTGCGTACCTGGCGTGGCCCTGTTGATGTGCATCTCCTGCATGTGGATTTTGCTGGGCGTCATGCGGATGGCCACCGGGTGGACGATTGCCGTCTCCTGCCCAATGCACGCAACCACGCGGTCACCACGCTTCTCAACGTGCCCAGAGACGGACGGACGGACAGACGGACAGACGGACAGACGCAGAGGCCAGCGATTGAGCCATTGACCGTGATGGGGGATTGGGGGGGGTGGATGGGGGTGGGGAGGATACTGTGCAGTTCTGGTTCGTTCTTGCTCATTAAGAGATGTCTGCGAGGTCACTGGACTGCGGTCTCAGGGTGGAGGAGGAAGATGGATGGTACGTCTTTACCCGGCTTTGCAAGAGCAGTTTTAACAAGATCACCTTACAACGGGTCATTTTAATGGGCGCAATAATTTCAGGGCAGGGACTGCAGCGATGCTTGAACGCAACGTTGTCTGGTTTTCCAAAATAAAAAGTTAAGGGGAACATTTAAAAGAATATTACACTCACAAGAATGCAATCAAAATAAAGGTCCTGTTAAGCCCAATCATGTTTAACATCTAAAGCAGACAGTATAGCCAAATTAAATGTGTTTATTTTGTTATAGAAACTCTACGTTGGGGTATAAACCCAGTGTTCCGGTTTTGACAATCACTTGACAGCAGACCCACCCAGTCACATTAATCATGCACAGTCTTTGGAGCATCGCCGAGGCAAAGCAAAGCCACTCATGAGTGTAAACGTGACCGACAGTCGCTGGGGAAACTGGGAAGGGGGTGGTGAAAAGTAATGTCGGTTAACGCCCATCTTGGTGTGCCTTGACTTGCAGTACGGGCCGCTTTCTGGCTATCACAGGCACCTAGTAGGGTCTGCCAAAACAGCTGGTGACTACTGCAGACTGGCAGCCACAAAGATGCCGGCCAAAATGAGCCAAGATATAAACAAAAACGCTTATTTTATTTTTACTTTTACCAGGTAAGGTTCACTTGAGCTATATAGCTATTTTTTCAGAAGCGACCTGCCTATCACAAGTGATAGCTCAACAAAATGGATCATCATGTGCAAATTGATAGCAGCCAAAAACTATAAATGGGTGTTATTTCTAAATGTGGAGGGGAAAAAACGGAGGACCCGAAGAAAAATCCATGCATCCACGGGGAGAGAGACACGCAAACTGCAAATATACAGCAGGCATCAGGGTCGTGATCGAACCCACAACCTCCTGTATACTAGGCGGGGTAGCTAACATCTCGCCACCGTGGCACCCATATATATAACGTAAATCATTCCATACATTTATATTTTTTGTGTTTTATTGCGTGTTTTTTTTTACATATTTGTTTAGAATTCTGACCATAAAATAATTGTGCAAATGTTGTATAAAAGTTCAATAATTCTTACGGTTAAGCAGGCAAATGTATGAGCAAAATTAATTCACATTAAAGTGAAATACGTAAGGTACAGTGGAAATTAGTTTATTGTTTGGCAGTCCAACACGCAAGTCCTTTTATAAATCTGTGGAAGTGCTTAACGATTTGTCATAACAGGCTTGAGTAATATAACATGTGCACTTAAATGTGAATGAACACATTTAAAAAAATCTGCCAAAAATTATAAACCGTCCAACAAGAGGAACATCCCACATATTTAAGCCCGCCATGCTTTTGGAGAAGGCCAATAAATTTCAGAAACTCGTGCAGGTTTTGCTCTCTGTGCCAATTTAGCTGCCTGCAAAACCAAACAAAAAGAGAATTGTCATGCTGACATTCATAATTACACAACATTTAGCGCAGAGAGCAGGGTTAAATTGCGCAAGAGAGCCAAGCTAAGCAGGTAAGCGGCACACGCATGCACAGCCACGCAAGCTCTCCCCGCTCGCACTTGGCACGCGCTCAAGGGTTTTTTTTAGAATCTTTTATTTATCCTGGAGAAATCCGATGAGCTTCGAAGCTCTTGTTCACAGATGTTCCAGTCAGTTTAAACAAGCAGCGCGGTTCACGGCGAGACGTTCCCGCGTTGATCGGCAGGCCGCAACGTTTTGCCGAGCGCAATGGCCTCGCGTTTTCACGCGTTCCCCCGCTTACGAACGTGGGCGGGTGGCTTCCGCCCCCCGTGCAAAAAAGCTCGACGCGGACGGGGCAATGCTAACGAGGGGCAGCGCAAGCGGTGGGGTGAGGAGCGGGGCAACAGTGGCATTGGCCACGTCGTGCGGGGGAGAGAAATACAGGAGGGCGGAAGGAGCGGGAGATGGCATGACGCAAAAAAGTGGCGATTTGAGTACGGGCAGACTTACAGGATCGGCCGGCGCGATGTTAGAGTCAAACTGAGTGAGAGTCTGGCAGCTTGAAGAGCGATCACTGAACGTTTCCCACTGCTGCAGACACACACAGGGGGGGCACACAACGACGCGGCGCGCCCGCCCGCCCGCCGGGAGTGAGGGAGGAGCGGAGGGACCGGCCGATAAGATAAAGGGAAACCAAACGGAATGTTTAAAAGGGATACATGACGACAGACAAATGAGTAGACGTGACAGCGCGAGAGAGAGAGACAAGAGGAAATGACAATGGGATGAAAGAGCGGCTTGGCAAAGTGAACTGAGACAGAGAAGGGGGCAAGATAAGATAGTGAGGAATAGCACAGATAGCGAGTGAGAAATCTTAAATGGGCTCCAAACGCCAGTGAGAATGCCTTTGGTGATGCCACCACAATGATCGTGTGCCGAAGTTAACCCTGCTATCTCTAGATAATTACACACACACACTACTTGCGCTGTTTACTGTGGCGGCCTAATTGAGCCACTGCAATCTAAGTACAATGGGATTAGCCATAGCAACGCAAAATTTACATCGCCACTTTCAAGCACCGCAAAGAGAACATCGTCAAACACTACAAAGAGAACAGAAAGAGTATGATGCTGGTCTTGAATGGAGTTGCAACAAGTCAAAACATACGCAGGATCAGTTTTTTTTGGTTGTTTCAGTCTACACAAGTAGGGCACTGCGCCAAAGGATAGAGCGGTGGCACAGTGCAGAGTGCACCGTGCTCTGAACTTGCCGAGCTGATTTCGATTGCTGGCCAAAGCTAGCTAACATCAGGGGGGGGGGGCGGAGTGATATCTGAACCAGCCCTGGGTGCTCCCATCACTAACCACCACTGACCAAGCATGGAGTATGATAAGATGACCCCATCGCGACAATCTCGAGTGGATTGACATAAGCTGCAAATCCAAAGCCAGTTGCGGTGTTAAAACGACATCAACAAAACGACAACTGCAGCATCGCCATGTGGATCCTCTATGGTCCAGTGTCCCCCCTCCACCCCCCACCCCAAAGCACCCAAAATCCAAGAGATACCGGAACTCGCCAAACCATGCCGCGGGAGCCGCCAGCTCTACCTCGTGCGCACGTGTCGGGCTGAGGCTTAATTTGACGAGGGATGAAGGAGGTTAAGCAGTGGGCAAGGAAAGCAGAGGGGGGGGGGGAGGGACAAGCGGCCGCCAAGGCGCGTGCACACACGTCCACGCCGCTCGCTCGCGCCGCCGAGCGCACAAACGGACGCAGCGATCCCCTCTGCCGGCGCCCCAGCAGCACCGCCTTCGCCAGCACCCGCCCCAAAGCCCCCGCAACTCATCAAGCACAGCAAGTGACATGCAGAGTCAGTGGCAAGTGATAAACGACACACAAAAAAACTAAAAGGGGGTCGAATTAATGCGGCAGGTGGCCGTGAATTAACGAACGAATTATGGTCAATCGATTCATCGTGAGCGCAACAGAACCGAGAGCAAGGAGGCCCCCTCGCGGCGAGGCTCCTGCATTGTTACACAAAAAACGTAAACGGGCGACAGGAGTTAACAGTGGTGATTGCCAGAAGTCTGCGATTGCAATAGGGGAAATCTGCGAGTGAGCTTCAAATGGTGGCGGTCAAGCCTCACCTCGCTGTTCTGGTGGAGGTCGCTCCATGCCTGGTTGAGTGACGGCGATTTGCTCGTCGCTGCCTCGACAGGGGAGCTCGTGAACGACGCCTCGGCAATGGGGTTTGGCACGTCTGTGAACAGAGGCGGGAACGTCGGAAGGTTAGGGTGGCCAGACTGGACCCCATCGTGCTCACGACAGCTGGGAAACAGCCACACTTCAAACGTCGCGAGTCGGTGGGGGGGGGGGGGGGGGGGGGGGGGGTGGTATCATGCTTAGCGAATGGTTCCTGTGGTTATTGGGTCAGATTACAAATAACCCACATGTTTCGCTCCACGTGTTCGATTCATTTCCACAAGAAGCTCCCAGCATGTGGAGTGAAATGTCGGACATCATGCCAAACAACGTGCGGAACAACCCGAAAATACACTGGAGAAAGAGTTTCCGAACTTCTTTACATATTTCTGGGTCACAAGGAAATATTTTTTTTTTAATAAACCTTGTAATATGGGGGACACAGGACATCTGGCCGCATTATTTCTAGGACTCACTTTTAAAGAGGTGGGCAAAAGGGGGAGAGAGGGCGAGAGGGCGAGCGAGCGGGAGGGCAAGCGGGTGAGAGGGCGTACGTACGGGTGGCATCGTCAATGTCAATGAGCTTGGGCACGAGGCTCTCGGGGAGCTTCTCGGGCAGTTCGTATCCGTTCTTGCGAGCCACGACGAGGTGGAAGGCAGCGCAGAACTCGTCCAGCGTCAGCGCCCCGTCCTGGTCGAAGTCCGACAGCTCCCTGGGAGGGGCGGTGGAAACCAAAGGGGGGCCGCAGGCAACCAGCAGAACGGTCGACTCTCGATGATCCGGCGTAATGGTGCCCCCCCCCCCCCCCCGATAAAACAAGCAACGGATAATATATGTGCACCTACGTATACTGGTGAAGATGTAGCAAAGGATTATCTGTTATTGTTGCTTCTTAATTAATTCATTTACTTGGTGAAACGTTTGCGGTCAAGTGGGCACCGAATCGCCAGTCTTTGGTGAGTGAGGAGCAGCCAATAATAGGAGTACCTCACGTGCAGGAAAACAAAACTAATTTATCTCGCATGTACGGTTTAATCCGCGACATAGATAATCTGCCCCGGGCTGCCAGTCAGCAGCTGAAGTGAGCATCAAAGCAGCGGTGACTCAAGAGGCCACTACGGCCCCATGTGATTTCATCGCGCCAATGGCAGTGCTTTCTTATTTCCGCAGCATTCCGTAGCTATTGCACAGCTGACAACCGACCCTGCAAGAGTATCCGTGACAGTATTGCACCTTCTGGCTTGAGGTATTCCGTCTGGTCGCGAACGTGAAAATCTGCCCTTCTCCTTCCTGTATATACGTACCCCACCCAACCACAACCTCGTCTTCCTGACTGTCTACGAAACTGTTTTTAAATCATGGTTGCTGAGCAGAGGGCACACAGGCATCAAACACGGCAGCGCTGAAGGCAGAATAGACGAGACTTAATGCATTCCTTGAATAGAGCAAGGTTATACGAACTTTGGGAAAAAAAGAGATAACAACGGGAGAGAAGCTCAAAGTACAAAAGAGTGAAGCAAAGAAGCATAATGATAAGTTATTGTCGCCTGCGGTGGGGTGATTGAACAGTGTGGACGAGACAAAGCAGTCAGTCTAGTAGACCGAATCCCCCAGCATGGATGGAAGAATGAAGAGAATCATAAAGGTTAACTCCATCATTGTGCATTTGTGCAATAAAAATAACACGCATAGTTTGCAATTAGAAAGTAACTAAATGTTACTGCGTCTCAAAAAACACTAATAAGAAGACAAGCACATCGCAATCATTTTAAGGGATACTTTTTTAAGCGTGTGCACGATTTTTATAGCGAAGAAACAACGTTGTCATCCTCAGATTGAGTTAAGCGCTCAACAGCTTAGAAAAAACGTATGTCTTTTCACATTTGTTAAGGTGTGGTTATGTAATGATTGCTACTTAATTCGGCGTGCGAGTGGTTTACACCGAGAATTGCCAGGAAATGGTGTAACGGCTTGGCACATTGTAATGCTCTCCAGCATTGTGAAAGGGAAAAGTGCAAAACAGCAGAGGCACTCAGTGCTTTATCGAGGACAACATTTACTCACCATATGTGAGACAGCTCCACTATAGGCAGTTTGGATTTAGTGAAGAACTCTTTGGCACCAGAGCCTGCAAATGGAGTAATAAATCCATCAATGTTATTAAAGCCCATCATGAGCAATATTACTTTTTGACATGCACTTCCAATGTGAACAAAAATCAATGAACACAAACCCTTCTAGTCCCAATACGTTTATATTTTTAACATCAAATAAGGATCTTCGTCACATTACACATCATGGACGAAAGAAAAGTATATATATACTGTGTATACATCTATCCAGGAAGGGCTCACTGTGCCCTAAAACCTTTTAGTAGGCTACTGGATGGAACACAAAAGTACAGACATGTGGGGAAAGTAGACAGTGCCACATGGGTATTGACAACACACATACAGACACGTGGGTACTTACAGAGATGGACATGTGGGTCCACATTACTATTATTATCATCATCAAAGCGGTAGGTGAAGGTGGCAGCCGTACCGGGAATGAGCCCACCAAGATCGGGCTGGATCGTCTTGAATTGGTTGATGTAGTAGTCGCGTTGTTCCTCTGTGATTCGCCACGGGTCCTCGCTGTAGCTGGCGCTGCGCTGCAGCTCCTTGCCGCTGCCGCCACTGCTGCCAATACCGCCTCCGCCACCACCGCCGCCGCCACCGCCGCCACCGCCGGCCGCCGACGCACGCGATACCGACCCGGTCGCAGTGTGATCCTTCACGTGACACGCGTGAAGACACGGGGGGAAATCATGGGGTGTGGGCGCCGCGGTGACGAGACGTTAACTACCTCGCCTGGTATGAAGGAGGTTGTAGACTCGACCCTGTGGTCAGAATAATACTTAAAGCCCCCCACCCCTGTAGTAATAGCAGTACTTTAACCCTGCACCCAGTGTGGGTCATTCTACTTCTCTCATAGCTGTAATTATGTTGGAAGTTTGGCTATTATCATTAGACCTCCTTTGCCAGTACCAAAATGTAACAATAGGGTTTTTCCCCTTTTTTCTGGCAACAAAACTGAAACCTTTTTTTACAAGGATTCATGTCTGCATTAACCACAATACCTGCAGTCAAAATGCAATAAAAAAAACATACTATGATAATATATGCATTATATTATAGTTTGGCTATTACTCTTATGGCGAGATGTTAACTACCTGATGCCTGTATATTGGAAGTTTGTATATTCTCCCTGTGGTCGCGTGGATTATCTCTGATTCTCCAGTTTTTCTCTACACATTTAGAAACATGCATTTAGAGTATTGGCTGCTAGAAATTTCCACATGATAAGCCACTTCATTGAGCTATCATTTGTGGTCTGGTAGCTTCTGAAAAGAGCTATATAGCTCAGTGGGCCTAACCTGGTAAAATTTGAATAGTTAGTTTGTGTGGAATGTGCGGGATATTAACAGAAGTTGATAAGCTAGGTTTGATGTTTACCGGGAGTAGTCATCTCTCAATTGTGACATTAGATGTCAAGGTATGGATTGACCACCCCCCCCCCCTCTCTCTAGATGGGATTGTCATGGAGGTCACAAATTGGTTATATGACTCTACCATCTCATTTGTATTGTTGTTTGTTTCCTGTATCTTGTTTTGTATACTCTAGAATAATAGCGTGTCATTTGCTTACATTACAATCAAATTTCTATTTTTTTTTACAGTCTCGCTTATATTGTGAATTATTTGTTTTCTCGTTTTCATTATGTTAAGCATTAAAGCTCCAGTAGCATATTGCTTGCCTTTCATTTTATTTATCGTAAATGCGATATTATCAAGTGCACAATTTGATGCATGCAATGTGAGCGAATGCATCGATTTTAATTAATGAATCAATGCAATCGTTGTTGGCCAAAGTATTACTGAGTGGAATGTAACGCATGATTTGCGGCCAACAATATGTTCTGACAAGACAGTATCCTTAACATTAATTCAGACCCGACACTTATTGATTGGTTTTTCAAACTGCTACACACAACTAATAAAAACAAATTCAACTAATTCGCCCTAAAAAATAACTTGATCATAGATAATACTTAGCACAAACTGAAGGCGCTATTAAACACAAGTTAAATTTTCAATGTTTAAGTTTGTTTTAAGCCACAGAGCAGGATTAAGCCACATTAAGTGACCAAATGTTATAATTTTCATTTATGCAGTCATTAGTGATCGGAGACGATACTAAAACAGAAAATCTGTCGTGCTGGATGCAACCAAATTTGTAACCTTGATCCATACCCATGTATCGATAGTTCAATGTTAATGTGCCATTTTGTCTTGGTGTGGGGACTGTTTTTGTTGTTGTTTTGCCCAATGTTGTTTATTGTTCACGACTTGCTTGCCGTATCTCTATTTGGCACTCCTATCGTTTTTTTTGTATTGTTTGTTGTTGTTACTTGCCGACCAGACCCTACTGGACATCTGTGAAATACAGCTTCATAGCTCAGCGGATTCCTCCAAGATAAATAAATATTCTGATTCTGACCCTGATCACCTCGCTGGACCTGAGAACCTCGTTCAATAGTGAAAGACTGCTCGGAGTTGAGCCCAAGATCACAGGAGTCCTGGCTCAGTGCTTCAATTATGGAATTATCCACCCTTAACCACACAGCCACACCAACACCCATTAAATTAGAAGCCTGTTTAAACATATTTTTGGTGTGGAATTTTGTTAATGTATTCGTCAAAACCTTTACCATCATCATTATCGTCATGATTTATACCACACCTCCCATGGAATACATCGCGAGGTGCCAAAACAGTATTTGAGATAATTAAGCCTGGTTGAGACTTGACTCAGCCCATCATATCTCTGGGGGTCAATAAAATTAATTCCACTGTGGGAACGTCAACAGTGGTTGTCCTATGGATAAACTCACCGCTGCCATAGGAATAAGGAATTTTCATCACTGGCACAGGGTTGCAAACAGTAGATGAACACAGCCTCAAAGCTCATTTATTAAAGCTAGAAATCGCTTTGATTTGGCTGGCTCGCTGCCAAATGCGAACTAAAGTTCCCACTGGTTCTGACATTCGCCGTGCAGCCGTGGGTACTGGCACGACGTGAAGGGGAAGAGAACTCTACCTGCGAGGCCACAAAGTGCGTGGGGGCGGTGGGAGTGGCTGACACGGGCGCCCCCCCTTCCGGCATCGTCGTAGCGCTGTCAGTAAAGCTGACCCAGTTCTCTTGCTGCGGGGGCGTGGAGCCTACCGGCCAAGAGGCACCCTCCGCTCCTGCAAAGACAAAGATCCTCCCGTGTAGCCTTAACAGACTGTTGGGGCGAATTGCTGTTAGCGAGTTGCACCTATAACGGCCTGCACGGCATACGAGGGGATGGGTGGCCAGCACCTCCCGCATGGCGATGGTTACACACTGTGTCAGGTACTCATTCGAGACTGAGTCAACCTAGCGGAGGCCCAGGACCGGTTCAGATAACCATCACTGGTGTGGCCGTGAGCTAGAATCGAACTCGGGTTGCCAGGTTCGTAGCGCAGCGGCTAACCGCTACAGTACCGCTCCGCCCCTTCAAAAAAATACCCCCCGTATAGCCTTAACAGACTGTTGGGGCAAGTGCTGTGAGCGAGCACGAATGAAGGTCGGCACGGTACACGAGGGGGTGAGGTGCGTGGCCAACACCACGTTCGGCCGCCTTTGTCTCCCTAGTGGCGATGTTTACTACACACCGCCCCTGCATGCGCACACACACAGAGTGGTGTGCAGTACAGCATGACAATTGCTGGCATACTTGTGCAAGGTTTCAGTGCCACTGCCAGTTGAAGATGGCAACCTTCACGTGGTTAATCTGTTCAGTGTCACAAAAAACGACAAGACCACTGACGAGGCCATCACTGCACATCTTTCGATGGAGGAATAGAAATATCTACAATCAGCATCAACGTGGCTAAAATAAACCTAGATTCAGCCATACTCAAGAAGAAGCGTCACTGATGTGTCAGTGTATGTTTTCGTGAGACACTGATTTTTTTTATCACAGACAAAATGGGGGGTTATGGACATATAAAAAAACCAAGATTTTCACGCAAATGAGGCACAAAGACTCAGTGACGCTCTTGTAAATGAACAGAGAAGAGTATTTAAATGTCCCACGGTGGCAGTTAGAGTGACGCATACACCACAGGAAACCGAGAACAAAGATGTAGATTCAGACACAGGCGGGTATAAATTCGAACTGATTATGAATTCAATTGTAAAAAAAAAACCCATTAACGTCCATTTGTATTTGCACAACTAAGACTGGTTTGCCGCACATGACAGTCACGTCACCAAGACTAGGTCTACCTTGCCAAAGGAATTTTAAATCTTACTCTTATATGGGTTAAAGATTTGGCCCCAAAAATTTGAGATCTTATCCTATAGATACACACCTAGGCTGCAAGCCCCCAGGCTTTCCAACACAGGTGTATCGCTTCAATAATTAGAACCTAAAAAAAAACTTTCATGTGACCGAGGGATGCTGTTAGTGAGCACACAATGGGTACATTATTTTACAACCTATGGCAGCCGTACCAACGTGATATCAAAAAATGTGTGACTGGACATACAAAATTTCGGGTCTCTTTTCGTATTAAAGAAGCTTCAAACTCATGTCAAAACGTGGTACACGCAGCCTAGGTGAAGTAACTACAAGGACTGTTGTTTGTGAGCGGTGTCTTTTTATCGTAAAATAATTCTAAGAGGTAGCCAGGTGGCTCGGAGGGACAGAACTCTCAAAGCACTTGAGCTGGCACTGGCTGAGATCCTTGGTTAGAATCTGGCTAAATCAGGTTTTAATTTGGAGTGGGTCGATAAGTTTCAGCCGGGTCACCAACAAAAACACAACCAGAAAAGAGATTAGATTTTTCACTTAATTTTATCAATTTCGGCTTTGAGATTCAGACAATGAAAAAAATTAATTGTTCGATTGCTATGCAAAACCCTTTGCAGGATATATAAAAGCTGCGCCCTTCGCGTGGACAAAGAGCAGGGCTGCCAGAGTTAGGAAAAAAAGAGCCCTAAAGAACAAATTTGTCTGGTTTTACACAGGAGAGTTCACAAACAACAATACAATTTTATACAGGACTAGCTGTACTACCCGGCTTCGCCTGGGACTTGAATTCACCACACCCGGCCGCCTTTGTCTCCCCAGTGGCAATGTTCACACCACAACAGTTACTCATTTGAGGCTGAGTCGACCTAGGGGAGGCCCAGGACCGATTCAAATAATCGTCACCGGTGGTGGCCGTGCGCGGGAATCGAACTCGGGTCGCCGGGTTCATAGCGCAGCGCGCTAACCGCTACACTACAATGCGTTACGCTTCCACATGCGAGGGTCATGTGACAGATTTGACGTCACAGCTCACTTGCCGTGCAAAAAATATATGGAAAGTACCCACATGGCAAATTTCAAGTTTGTTGCATGTCGGGAAGTACGCTAAACATTTTGAACAGACACACATATTCACAACTTTGCTTTTTATATATAAGGAGATAATCTATACGAGAGTTATTGCACCCCTCTACAGACGTATGCACAGAGTTTGATGCATGAATACTTTCAACCTTAGTTGGAAAAAATAAACATGCAGTGTAATATCACGTAAACAGTTCGCTGGGAACTGAGGTGTAGGAGGATGTGTGAAAAAGTCGGCTATGTAAACAATGGCGACGCGTGTGCGGCGATGGCGAAGCCATCGATCGAGGGTCGAATTCGAACCGTGTGTGATCGACATCGTGTACTGTATACACAACTGCGCACAATTCTGAGGCACTTATAATTGCTTTGCCGTTACTAATTGCAAATTATGGACTCAGACTATTGTCCTATCATCTCAGAGAGTCCCTGGCACGTAATAATATGCTACACAGTGGCAGTGGGGGTCGCAAAATGCCGATTTATTACTAATAAACCCCAATGATCCGATCGAAATAAGGGATTTTGATCGGATCATTGGGGGGACACGTGCCACCCCACCCCCCCTACTGGTTCCGCTAGTGTATGTAAACATGTATACAACGTGAGTCACACCATACCAAAATATGTTCTTGGAGAAAGAGCAAACCGCGGGAGAGTGCTCTTTACAAATGTATGTAAGCCCAAGAACACATGACTGCGTGTGAAAATGTAAGATTTGCGAACGTCTACATAAAACCACAATCACACCATATACAAATCCTGCACCGAACTCCAGTGGCCCATTGATCAGGGAGGGTAAGTGACTGTACAGGACGAGGTGTTAACTGCCTCACCTGGTATGCAGGAGGTCGTGGGTTCGATCCCGACCCTCACGCCTGCATGCACTCCCCGTGGTCGTGTGGATTTTTCTCCGGGTCCTCCGGTTTTTCCCTCCAAATTTAGAATCAATGTGCGTTTAGAGTATTTGGCCGCTATACATGTCCACGTGATAAGCCACTTCGCCGAGCTCACTTCCGCAAAAAAGCTATTTAGCTCAGTGTGCCTTACTGGTGAAATAAAAATATAACTTTTATTATTTCTATAATTTTTTATATTAACTTTATTTAAACATTTTATTTTATTTATTATTTTATTGTTATAATTTTTTTCTATCCACGTGACTTTACTGAAAGACCCAAAGAATATAACCTAAAAAGAGTTTAGTTTTTAAGTTCAGTTGAGATTAAAACGCACTGCACCAGCTCACCTGGCTGTCTCTCGGCCACGTACGGGGCCCAGGCAGGGCCTCTGTCGCCGCTCGGGTGCCGCTGGCCGGGACGCCACGCCACAGGTGATGCCGGCGGGGAGTGGTGCGGGGACACCACGGGTGACGGCGTCTCTTGCGGAGGAGACTTGGACACGGACTGGTCAAGTTGGGCGACCACAAGGGAACGCGGCGAATCGATGAGTCGGCAGTAAAACAAACCCTTCCTGTTGCTACGCATGTTTTTCACTATTTTAGCTGTATATCCAATTTGTTTTCGGGTTGAACTGGCCGATATTAATTTACACATTTGCGATAGCCAGGTCGCTTCTGAAAAAGAGCTATATAGCTCAGTGGGCCTTACCTGGTAAAACAAAAATAGTTTAGATTTAGTTTAGAACTGAACGTTGCTCAGCATGTCCAACATTTCGCAGGGGAGAGCATTGGAATTCCTTCAAACAGTTTATTTTCTCAAGCTCCAATAACCTTGCTCCATCTAAGAAACGTATTAAAATGTATCTATGACACCTTCATCCATGCTTGTTGTTGGTGGCCGCCTGGTATTTTTGGCGCTTGCGCCTGTGGTTCAGCAACCACGCAAAAAAAATTCACAAAAGACACAATGTGCCGCCACAATCAGCTGCACCCTCTCCGTACCTGCTGGTCCAAAGAGGGCATTCTGGCCGGCGTGCCGGTACCCGGTGGGTCCTGCGGCTGTGACGGCGCCAGCTTCTTGAGGTGGGCGCGTGCCGGCGGCGGTGGGATCACCCGCGAGTAGCTGCTGCCACCCGGGGTCACGGGGCCACCCTCGTGCTGCTCTGGAGCGTGGTGCGACGGCGTCACGTGCCGGGACGACTCGGGCTGCTCGCTCTTGCCCACCACGAAGCGGGGGAGGTCACGCACTGCGCGGGGGAGAAATAATGACAAATTAAGACATTTAAAGAATACGCCAGAATGTCAAAACATCTCCAAGCGCGCTGCATAGCGCCGAGGTAACACCAGGTGAGTTTTAGGTCAAGTTTGATTTTTGAGCGATAGACGTCATGGTCCTTTAGTTCCTTCATCGGCAGTGTGTTTCCAGGTGATGAGACCAGCGACTGAGGAAGCACGTAGTCTTTGCAAAATGTTTGCCTCGGGTGGTACGACTAGTTCTCTGTGCTCAGCGGACCGAAGATGTCACCGGTGTTAAAAGAGATGGAGCACATGGAGTCGCCGTGCTGCAACCAGACCTCAGAGGCAGAGGACTTTATTTCCACAGGTACTGAGAATTGAGTGGCCTCTTCTGGCCCAGTATAAGTCCAGAAAATGCACCGGGTGCCTGCGTCCATGTCCCCTATGGTGGAGTTCAGTTCAATTATTGCTAATTAACCAAGCGAAGAGGTGGAGTGATGGTGTAATGATTTGCGCAGTGTGTTTCTGCACAAGGACCAGTCTCTCTGCAAGGCGGCCACTCACAATATGGTATCAATATTATTGGCAATGAAAAAATTGATGGGCTGATTTATACCGCCAGTCAGGAATTCAACTCATGAAATTCCAATTGTTAGTATCGTGCTCTACCATAGCTCCATCTGCAAATTCTCATGCATACATGGCACACATAACATGGCTTGGACATTAATAAGACCAGTATTGACATACGGGACTGGATGGACTAGAAACCATGAAGGAGGAAATGTTGTGCACTACAGAAATAGGGAGGTGAGCTGTATCTCAGCGATCACAAGACTGGAACGGGTCAGAAATGAAGAGATGACGAAGAAGGCAAGAGTGGTACACCTTCTCTGACAAGCTGAAAGAAAGTTAACTCAGACGGCTGGTGACAAGTCGTAAGAAGCGAGGAAACCCACACCGGAAAAAGAAAAGGTGATGAACATGGAAGCGGCAGGGCAGAGAACGAAAGGCAGGCCGAGAGAGAGGTGGTGCCAAATGGGAAACCAGGATATTAAGGAATGTGGAGCGGACGTGGAGGGTGAAGGCCCGGGACAGGAACGAGTGAAGATATAAAACGAGGAAGAGGTTACACAAGTGGGAAATAAGCCAGGAAGGCAGAAGAAAAACAAAAATGCACATGCATATGCACATGTAAATATTTAACTATTCAAATATATATTAATTAAGTCACCGCAGTGTCCAACACAAGTCCTGTGAGATGTACCTGTACTGAGGCTTTCCAGACGCATCGGCAGCCCGGCCTGGGCCACGGCTATGAGCTTGAGCGCAATGTAGAATTGGCTGCGGCCAAAATAGCCGAGTCGTTTCGCACCACACATCTCTGTGATCTGTGGCAGAGTGGAGGGGGGCAAGAGTTGAACAATAGTCCATCGAGCTCCAACATACCTGGCATTAATAAATAACGTGTAGCCATTCATTAAAGGTAGCAATGCATCTTGTTAAATTAAGGCTTCAAATAAATAATTTATGGCAAAAGTATACCTTTTATTTTACAATGTGTACACAAATTATATTTAACTCTATGCATGGGTATGTATATATGTTGAACTTCTTTCGCAACGTACATAGCCAACTGTGCTAATCGGAGGTGTGGGGGAAGGACAACTAAACACAAGATCAACAAACTAAACACAAGATCATTCAGATTAGATAGCTCAATCAGCAGAGCAGTAGGGCCACCAACTATGAGGTTCTGAGATCAGATCCCAGCCATGGTCCACTTAGCTGTACCATCACTTAAGTGTCAGCAAATTATGTAACCTTGGTTCTTTAAGACACACATACAGAGCAGTAATGATACAAAAAAATAATGCCCTTCATTCATCAAGTGTATTGAAGTCTTCAATTCAGGAGGGTTTCCTGCATTGGGATGTTTGGCCAATCCCATTCATGAGTGTTTGGCATGTGGCAAGTAACCAGTGAACCCACCAAATACCAGACTTCCAAGGGGATAACACTCAAGGGTCCACACAGATATTTTTTTAAAGCATTGCTTTAATGCCACCTCCAGGCCATCTCATAGCTGAAGCCTTCAATACTTGGTATTCGCAGGCATTCTCCCATCTCAGGAATAAGAAGCCTCAACCAAACTTCTGACGAGATCGGTTGCATTGAGGGTGACGGGGTAAATGTTTAATGTTTTGTTGTGGGCACTTCCAAAATTTCTATTTGGGTAATCATTATTATTAATCTTCAAGAGTGCTGTTTTACTTGGAGATGGCGTGGCAACCGATTGGGGCTTTAATTCAGGTAGAAATAATTATTCACCATTCCTTGATAATGGAAAAAAGTTCAAATACCAGTGTTGAACATAGTGAGCCTAAACAACTGCCATCCACACTGATATGGTAATGGTGCATTCGGTTATGCAATAGGCATGAAGCAATTAAATGATTCCATAAATAATCCATATACATAAACTACAAATAATTGACTTTCAAAATGACACCCCACAGGTTTTATTCGGATGCTTGGGAAATTGACTGAGGTTGCATAATTTGTGGAACCGCCATTGCAATGTGATTGCATAAATGGTGTAACACGTTAAAACAAGTAGCAGCGCTGTATGAGACACCGCAAACGTGAGATGGGTTTGATGGCCACTTTATAGCCCGGAAGGAAGAGCTTTGTAGTAAATTTATCTTCAACTAGGACACATCCTCAATTCATACTTATGCCTTCTACTTCCTCTAGACACTGAAAAAACATAAACAAACTGCATTGACTTTGGAACCCCCCCCATAATTAGCATCTCAACGTGTCAGCACAGCTATTTCAACGTCTGCTCACTTAACATAGCGGATGAGCCAAGCGGGTTGGTCCGTACCACTACGCGTGTCCACCATGGGTAGTCATCCACCATGGGGAGTCATCCACCATGGACAGTCATCCACCATGGGTAGTAATCCACCATGGGGAGTAATCCACCATGGGCAGTCATCCACCATGGGCAGTCATCCACCATGGGCAGTCATCCACCATGGGTAGTCATCCACCATGGGCAGTCATCCACCATGGGGAGTAATCCACCATGGACAGTAATCCACCATGGGCCGTCATCCACCATGGGGAGTAATCCACCATGGGGAGTAATCCACCATGGGTAGTAATCCACCATGGGGAGTAATCCACCATGGGGAGTAATCCCCCATGGGGAGTAATCCACCATGGACAGTCATCCACCATGGGGAGTAATCCACCATGGGCAGTCATCCACCATGGACAGTCATCCACCATAGGGAGTTGGCACGATAGGCAGAGTGCTTAGCAGATATACGGTCTGTTTCATATAACACACACTTTCTCATTAATTTTATATTCCGTGGATGCTTCATATTAAATTAGTTCCCCCCCCCCATAAAGATGCTCTCAATCCAACATACTATGATCCAACATAGCATTTAATGAAAATGTTCCCATTAAAACCTATCACGGTGGCGTAGCTATCATGTGCATGTGATCTCAAGGTACAGTATAATGCTTCAATAAAACCTTTTGTTCGCATTGGCCACCCTAGGCGGGATACAGATAAGCCATTTTGAGGTCAATGGCTCAGAAGGACCAACAGGAAGGCCATGTCAGTTGTGGCAGATTGCGTGGGAACAGTCTGTCATTCAATGAACCGTACTGAGCCTGGACAGACGGGAGGAGGGTGGGGGGGGCACGGTGCTAGTTTTGCCATGTACACATGGCAAGTTAAATTTGGACCAAGAATGCCAAACAAAAAAAACTCAATCGACGACTTACTAAAGCTATGTCTGCAAAGAGCCACAAACGGGGACAACACACACACACGCGCGTACACGGCAGCAACAGTAAACTGATATCGCTTAGGTTAATAGCACTCGCTTGCAACGTAGAGAAAAAAAATACGAGCTGGATTCAAGCAGTTACGAGAAAATCACCTCTACTTATGGTGGTGCACTGTTGAAACCCCCAAGAGAATATTAAGTGCATCTAGCACACTTAAAAGACAGCTGATGTAGTAATGCCAGTCAATAACAAGAAACAAGTAAGGCATTGTAGTCCTGTCGGCTCAGTCTCCCTCCTCTCTGTGTGAGAAATGAGCTTTCTGCATCGCTCAACAACGAGGCGCCCTGTCGAGAAAAATTCAATGTACGAAAATTGTACTCGCTCAAAAGTTGCCAAAAGAAAAAGGGGAACATATATAGAGCAGTAAATACGACCAGTGCTGTATATGAAGGCACTTGAGCACAAATAAAGAAAGATTCTAGAAAGGAGATATCATAATTCTAAGGTGCATGTTGGTTAATACCTCTATGGGAGAGGAGGAATGGAAGCGTTTAAGCCTCAGCAGGGGCTACTTATATGCTCGGAAAGGTTAAGAGAGTGACCGAGATGGTTTGGGCATGTGTTGAGAAAAGATCAAGAAGATGCAATTAGGACTATGGAGATTAGAGAGCCATAGACTCAAACAGAGACCCATAGCCTCACACACAGAGCCATAGACTCACACAGAGATCTACAGACTCACACAGAGACCCACAGACGAGAAGGGCTATGTAGATGCCACCGGTGCACCCCGAGGGTGAGAGTGAAGTATGTCGTGGAACGAGACACGAGGGCGGTGGATGTGGCCAGAGAATAGGCACAGTATAGAAGCGCATGAAGAAAAAAAAATCCGAGCAGCCGATCCCTTGCAGCAATGGGACTTGCGGCTTCGAAGAAGATTGTGAGCGTCAAAAGCTTGGCCTGCTGAGCGTCATAACCTGAGGGCAGTTATTTAATAGCCATTGTTGTAAAACTGGTTGTTGTAAAACTGGTTGTTGCAGTCCCGTGTGTGTCTGCGGGCAGGTCTGAAATAGATTTTTTTTTAACACTTGAAAAGTAGGATTTTTTCTCTCCATTAAGATGAAAGGTATAAATAGATGCTTTAACCACATGCGCTCTTCCAGCATACATTATCGATCACACATGGGTACAGGGAAGTAAAAAAGGCCTTTCTGACGAAACAACAAATATGTGCAGAATCACTCATTGTATTTCCTACTGGCTAGTTTTTTTAATAGGCAATGGGGCTTATTGCTTGGACAAATGTTTATTAATGTTTTTGAAACATACCCCATACACCATTTTAAATTAATCTTGCTGGAATGTTAAATTCAACTTCAAACTTTATCCTGCTTAATAATGTTTTATTGGTTAATGATTTGTACTTTTTTCCCCAATTCTTAATATTTGGGCCCAGCATACTGTTTCATCACGAGTGTGCCGGATTGCTTTCGTGACCCAGATCTCCTTTTGAATGTTTTTTTTTATGTTATTCTCAATGGGCTCTTAACTTACAGCCCGTTGGAAATGCACGACGAGACAAAGGCCTTCGTCGCAACGTGTCGGTCATGGGAGTTTCTTGACAATACTTCACGCTGGATCAGTGCGGGTTGGTGAAGGGTGTCCACAGGATTGGATTAGATATCGCTCGCTACGAATGTTACCCATGGCTGGGAATCAAACTAAGTTCGCCAGGTTCATACCACTGGGCTAGAAAAACTATGCCACTTCTCCAAATCTTGATGGGCTCTCACCTGGTTATAAATAAATCCACCAGTTAGTCGATCAGCAGATCGTGTGGTGGTGGGGTTCAGTGGGGGATACTCTCACCTCCTTCTAAGTCATCTGGGCCAGCAAGTCATGAAAGAGTCAGCCAAAAATATAATCTCAAGCTCTCGAGAGCTCTTTTGAGTAGAGGCTCTTTCACCAGCAGCGGCGTGTGAGCAAGCAATTGCAGCGATGCACCTAATTCTTTTATTATACAATAATTCTAGAAAAGATTTCAGTAAATTCTGAGTATGTTTTGCTACGTGACATTCTCAGAATTGTTAACAGACTGTTGGAGCACGTGCTATTAAGCGAGCACATACGAAGGCCGGAAGAGTACGAGGGGGTGGGGGTAGCGAACACCATGCCCGACCGCCTTTGTCTCCCGAGTGGCGAATTTTATACGCCGCACCAGGTTCTCATTTGATGCTGAGTCAACCTAGGGGAAGTCCAGGACCGGCTCAGATATTCGTCATTGGTGTTGGCCACGAGCGGGAAACGACCACGAGTCGCCGGGTTCGTAGCCCAGCACGCTAAGCGCTACACTGCCGCCCCAATCAACATACACACGCACGCACGCTGCAGTTGTACCTCCCAAAGGAGGGAGACTTACAACATGACAAGAGCGTTTTTGGTTTCGGAGAACTCGTACGTCAATACACAGTGACAGCTCTCAGCCAGGGAAGGAAGACGGCCATTTCCTATGGTCGGCCAGGGTTTTCCACTGCAACGGAGCACAAGGCGGCGGCTGTCCCACACAACACATGTA